TGTAATACTTAATATAAAGGCCACAATCTCAGATCACACACAAAAGCTAGTCCTGATTTGCCACATTTATCTAAATAAAAAGAAGAGGGTTGCATTTATGATTACAGGTCTTATATAATAAACTCTAGACCCTCGAGGAAAGCTGGCTCTGAGATTAATAAACGTACGCTACAGTGGAGCTTGAATGTTCATAATGCCTTTAGATTTTTTTTTATATTTCTGCATAAAACATTATCAGCTGTAATGAATGGAAATGACACATGTGAGGGTCAAGAAGATTTTGGTCACTCTTGCCTGTCACCTTTTGAGAATTTTCCTGCACTCCTTACACAATCTATTCCATTTTGGGACATTGCTGGTTTTCCTTACATGAACTGCTTGCTTCAGTTTCTATTCGATTAAAGTCCGAATTTGGTCGTTCCAAAACATTCTTTTTTACTATTCTTTGGCAGCACAACCTGTGTACTGAGGGTAGCTGTCTTCCTGCATGACTCACTTTGTCTTGAGATTCATTTCATGGATTGGTGTCCTGACATTTTGTCTTAGTATGGTATTTAGTGGTGTCTTCCAAATTGATGGTTCCATCAATGGCAGGGGGGTTCGAAACAGGTCTTAAACCATGACATTACCACCAACGCGGGATGCAGTTCAGATGTCTTCACCTGTCACAGAATGAAGAGTTATTGTACAGCTTTACAGAGAACAGTAGGAATGATTTCCTTAAGCATTCTTTATGGCAGCGAGGTTGAATCAGTCTGAGGGAGAAGGAGCTCCCGTTGCCTCACAAGTGTGGAGTGGGTGTCATGGGTTGTTCATGATGGAGAGCAGTTTGTTCAGCGACCTGCTGTCCCTAACTGACTCAAACGCCTCCAAATTTAACCAATGATGCTTCCAGCCTGGTGGATTAGTTAGTTGATTGAAAGTAGTGTGAAGCAGGGCACTTTGGAAGTGTTCACACTTCTAGAGTAGTAAGTGTGCAGATATAAGCTCACAGTATTTACCTTGTCCTTTATTCCATTTCTAAACTTCTTAAGTTTTTTTTTTTCAAGCTGCTCGACCTCCTCTGATGTGCATGCCAACAAAGTAGGTTTTGAAAATGACAAGAGTGCATAAATTTAACTAAGTTATTTTCTCGGTTATAATTAGAGTACCATCTGGAAACTATGTACTGACATTTTTGTTTTTGTTTATGCGATACCACTTGTCATATTTGCTCAATCCAGCATGAAAGTTGAATGTAAATAGCATTTTCTTCATTTTTGTGACCTGGTAAAAAGTATTACACTTTTTTTTTTTGCATTATTGTGAAATATAAAATATATACATATCACTGCTTTAACTTTTTTTCTGTATTTTAGACATCTTTGACAAATCAGTTCAGATTGATCTTGTAAGAAAAGCCAGTGAAGCTTTTATCCTTAATAGCTTTTATCTTTAATGTTTTTTTTTTTTTTTTTTTTTTTTTTTTTCTTAAATGACATCAGAAACAGCAGTATGCGACATTACGTGATGGCAGAGCTTCAGTTCATTCTTTGTCATTTTTTTTTTTTTTTTTTAATAAATAGGACAGGGGGAATGAATGAGAGAAAGAGGGGGAGAGAAAGAAAGAAAACCAAAGGGGAGAAGAGACGGTGAGAAGGGGGGGAAGAGAGAGAAAAAAAAAAAAAAAAAAAGAACTCCTGGGTCACCTGTATGGAGAAGAAAAAAAAAAAAACAAACAAAAAAAACAAACAGAGGAGACAGCAAACAACAAAGAGCAACATAATAATAGAGAAAACAAAGCACCATCACAATAAACTAGCTAGTCATAGATATCAATATTTACTAAATAATAAACGATATTGTGCAGCACGCAAGATAGACAGCGCACAGTGTGCTTTGAGGTAGCAGCCAAGAAAGCTTTAGTCCGCGTCTGTGAATACCATGTGTGCATACCATATCTTTAATGTTCAAACATGACCTCAGATTTCAAAGTGTGAAAAAAAATGCTGGAAGTTGGCCGACAGACCAGAATGCTAAAGTTTTACAACAACAAAAAAAGAAGAAGAAAGAAGAAGGAAAAATCCCAGCGCTTAGACCCAGTGGGGATGTCAGGCTTGGTTGAAACCCTGAGGTTCTTGTCCCATGCTTTCAGTTCCTTTCTGCAAAAGTTCTATTTTAGCCTGAAAAACATTGTTTGAACAGCCTTATGGGTTGTCCATGTGACCTTTTCTTAAACTACAGCCAGGACTCCTTCATGACCTTCTAGAGTACTCCTCACCTCCCTTTTGGACTTTTCTTTATTGGTTAGACATTCCTGGAGAGGACATTATTATTCTTCTATTTTCTTAGTTTGGACATAATGTCAAACTTATGCACAAGTTCAATAAAGAAGTTCTGTATTTGCTCATTCCTTGCCACTTTTTCAGGCCGTCCAACACAATTCTGTCCTCATCACTCTGAGAGCCAATCAGAATCTCCTCAGTGCGCCTTAAATCTCAGTGCTCTTCTACCATTCTGCCTTTCAGACTTTCATACATGCAAGCCAGAACCTTTTCCTCTCCCTCTCATCCTGGCCAAGGAGAGATCTTCATCCAAGTCTCCACCCGCTTCATCTCCATCACCACCAGTGTCTAGATTCTGACTGAACACACCTCACTCCAAGCTCATTCTAAAATTTACAGTTAGATCTTGATGTACAGATACGTTTGTAATACTGAATCATTTCCTCAATGACTGAACGACCAGCTGACCTCTTTTCTGTCTCTCATCTGTTTAATACTACTTTAATTAATATCTATGCACAAATACAGACATTTCTAGAGTTCACCAACTTTCAAGCAGCACGTGATAAACAAATAAATAACCATAAAGATAAAAAAAAAAAAACTTTCATTACACAGTCATATTACCATATAACATCAGAACAAGTGGACTGAACTGTGCTCTCTGACTCGCTCTGCTCAATAAAGAATCTACTGAGACAGATTATAGGAGTTTATGTGCGTCTGCTTGAAAGTGAAAATTTTTATTATTGAGCACACAGCTGCAAGGGCACTGCAAAAGCCTGTTTTTCCCTCCAAAATATTTACTTAATGTACATATCAATCATGATAAAAAGAGCTCAACACTGTAAACAACCGATCGCGCAAACACGAGCACAGCTATGGGGAAATATCAATCACTTGGAAAATTGCTGGAGGATATAAATATTTCATGAAAAAAAAGTTAACATTTTAATTTGGTATAGGCTTGGCTGCCTTTTGAATAAATCCCTGGGGTGACGATGAACACACACACACACACACACACACACACACTGATACACTTATGCAAGCACACAAGCTAGGACTTTGATCCAAAGCTTCTTACAGGGTTTCGCTGATTTTTCACCCCAAAATGAGATCCCACAGATCCCGGTCCCGGCGTACAACACAAGACACGGAGAGTCATTAGCTGTTGAGATCAAAACCACAGACAGCCAGAGGAGCGTGTCCGTGACATAAGAGCTGCACATCCGGAGGACAAAGCTGACAAGAATGAGATGAGTCTGAACCAGGGACAAGTTAGGAAATTCTTTTTGACTTGTGCTCTTTTTAAAATGTGTGTTCTGGCTACTCCATATACTGCAAAACCAAACATTTCTTCAACAAACTATATAGCCTCTGGACCACATAATCACAGCCTCATGTGTATCCAGCGCAGCTACTACACTCACTTAAGCAATCCACAGCACTTCCCACGTAAAAAAAAGAAGCCCTCTGTAGTAATCCTGTGCAGGGGGGCTTTTGCTGTTTCATTGCACCGAATACCAAGCTAACGGTGACCTTATCATACTTTATGATATTTTTCATTTTCTGTGACACAACTATAATGTTGAAATAGGGACTCTGGGATTTGCTCTAATATTTATAAAATATCCCTTCCAAATCCAATTTAGTCCACTCAGTGAAGCACAAATTGGATAATAAATATTGCATACTTAAATGTGTGCTCTAAAGAAAAAAAAAAGAGAAAAATTATATGTAATTCAAAGGTTAAACTGAAAATATAGTGCAATTTTCTTTTATTTAAGAATCTGGCAAGAATAGCAGAGGTTCCATTTGGGCAAATGGCACATGCATTAAATGCAAAAATGACCAGTTCTCTTCATTTATGATCATCCCCGCAACTCCATGTAGGCGTCCATAAATGGCCAGCAAAATTACCCCAAAAATGACACAATCCTAACAGCTTGCTATTACAGACAAACTGACTAAAACTTATCAAAGTCAGTCCTGATTAATTTTCTGCCAATTAAATAATTGCTTATTTTTCTTCCTCTTTTTTGTTTTTAAATCAGGACATAAAATGTCTCAGTAATTTAGATTTCTAAATATAAGAAAGATCATGTATGACTGTAATATTCTGCTGAAATAAATGTGTGTGCAAGGCTCAATCCAATTTAATCTGATCCAGCATCTCACATAATCCACTGTTTATATATGTGGTATCATGCCAAATATATTGGATTAATACTTTGTTACACTACTGCAAGTACAGCACGCCTAAAGTAATCCATATCTGTAAGCTAGTAGCTGGGTTCAAGGCTGAAGGAGTTGGCGCAATACTTGTAAATGACTTCTTATGAATTATGAATAACACTGGAATGTGTTTTCTGACTGCCACAACTGTAACACACCCCCTAACTCGGACGAGTGCCAAACACATCAGGAGCACACCACGACCAACACAAAAACACGCCACAAACACCTCTTAGATAATCGTTTCTATACGCCTAATAAGTGTAGCAACAAAATAACGGCATCATTATAATATATATGTGGCAAGTATGTGATTTATTTGCATGGTTTACTGTAAGTATGGAGCCTTGGGGGTAAGCGCATCAGTTTTGGGAAACAATAGGTGCTGTCAAAAGAGAAAAGCGCGTTGAGGGGGGGAAAGCTAACGGTTTTCAAAAAAGAACCGAAAGAAAAACTGCGACATGCGAGAAAGTTGCGCCGAAAGCTTACAAACCTCACCTTGTTTGACACACTTGAGTCGGAGGGGGTCTTTGCTGTGCTTGACCACAGCATGGACGTCCCTGGTGGTGAGTCCAGCCACAGGGGTATCATTGACTTCCAGCAGGAGTTCATCCTGGAAGAGTTTGCCGCTATGGCAGACCGCTCCGCCCGGGAGAAGCTCGCCGATAACCGGGAACTGTCCATTCTCTGCGCCGCCCTTCAACTCCAGCCCCAGTTCCCCCTCCTCATTCCTGCAAAGGACACTCTCGTGGACTTTGTTTGTCCAGTGGTTCTTCTTCTTCTTCAGGGTCTTGGACATGGCTCGAAGAAAGGGAAAATCACATGAGTGCGGCTGTGGAAGAAGTTTTGTCGCTCTCGGAAGTGCCTCAGTGTCACGGCAGCACTGTAAAGTGATCGGTTTCAGTGGTAAACGCCAGCTGTATCCATGTCCTCGCACACACTCACGCGCACAGCAGCTGGATCATCAGCCTGCCTTTGCAATAACTGAGAGCTGCCGAACTTGTGCCGCCTTCAGGGGATATTTTAAAAATCGGAACTCACACGATCGCAGTTTATGCAAACACCATCGCGAACAAGAAAAACGCAGTTTAGGAGAATTTACACTATGTGAATAAGTGATTGTAAGAAACACTACACTTAAAATTTGATAAAAAACAAACAAACAAACAAACATCTGTGTAGATAATGATTAGGTGATAATGATTAGCTCCTGGAGAAATATAGGTGGTTTTGTGTGGTGATGTAAGAAGTTATATTATTAATTAAAAAGTTTGGCATTCTTGTTTTCTATTGTAGGACCTTAACTAGTAAAATGTAGAAAACAAGACTCAAACCAATTGCAATCTGACTGCATCTAGCAGAAATGCAATAATATGCAGTGAGATATAGTACTTGTTCTTAATGATAAAACTAGATTATACTTTGTTATTATTTCACTTTAAAAACTTTGCTGACATGTGCAATAGAAACACGTCATCTTATTAAATAAATCAATGAGGCAAATCAGTATTTATCGTTGTAAAACCTTTACTTGCATTCCACACATTCCAAAAAGGAAGTTCATCTTGAGCGCCAAGAATAAAGCGCTTAAAACTTCTCAACTTCGAAATGCACAACATTACCAGTGTCATTTGAAAGCGACATCCAGCTTTGACCAACCCAACTGACCCGGAAGTGAAAGCTGAAGAAGGAGGAGAGAGACAAGGGTTTTCCCAAAATCCAGCTTTCCACGAATAGAAAAAAGAAAAAGGAAAGAGGGGGAGGCAGAGCAGCGGTATTTCCACTGGCATGGCAGCAAAGAAGCGCTAATAACAGGGGGTTTCAAACCACAAATATGTCTCTTCTGTTTGACACTTGTTTACAGACACTTCTAATACTACAGTTTTAAAATAAATGCGAAGTATCTGCCACAGTGTAGCCGGTGAGACCATAACTATAACTTTAAAGATGTGATCATCTGAGTCTACTCAAATTTCTTTTTTCCTCCCCCAGCATCATTGCGATTCCTTTCTCCTTAAACATGACTCTGCTTCAATTAAAGTCTCCTTCTGGTTTGACAAGAAGCTTTGAGGGTGACTTCAGTGTGTTACTTGAATTGAAGCCCCAAACACATTTTTTTAACATTATTTTCAGGTGAAGTTGAAGGCAAGATTGTATTTACTTGAACAGCCTCGAGGTCTTGTGTGACGTTTATATTACGGAGCATTTTCAAAGGCTGCAAGTATTTATCAGCTGAGAATTCCTCCTCTATATTGATACTCAGATTTCAGAATCATTTGTTCCCTCTAACGGCATTTATGATCCGCTCGCTTAGTTGGTTTGTTGTAGGCCTAATAGTGCTGTCATGCACCAGAAAAAAATGGCTCTTAAGTGAAAATCCCCTTGTGTTTATCTCCGACTAGAGGAAAGGGACATAAAGCAAATGGAGAATTGGCTGACTATAATCCGTCTTCAAACAAGTGTGTGTTATGGGTCTCTCCGTCACAGCACTGACATCCTCCAGTCTGCTTGGAGATGAAGCCTTTTCTCACGTAGTTACTGATCCCATTCTCAGTAATGATAGTTTGCCGCTTTGCTGCCACAACTGTATAGATATGCAAAGATAATTGCTATTCTACAATGCAGAGTTATCAGTCATTCTTAATCCTTTTCAAAGCCTTAAAAATAGCATTTTTCCCCACAAGGAAGCATTCCAGTAATGACGTGAGATAAGTGCCCTGTTTTAAACCCAAAACGGCTTCCTCTTGTGTCATGATGTCATTTATTCCACCCAGTTCAAGGAAAGGTTGTTTTTAAGACTTTTTTTTAATTCATTCATTCAATTAACTGTTCAATAATGTTTTCTCCATATTGCCACTACTTGTAAAATACCAGTAAAAGCTGATGGAGATATTGATACTGACAGCAAAGGACTCGATCATTAAAATGTTGTGTAAGCAATTTTAATTGTTATAAAAAAAATTAATAAAAAAAAAGAAGAATACCCTGGTAGCTGTAAGTGGATACTGAGTCATGGCAGCCTTACAGTGCATGGTCTCCGCTGCATCAATCTGGTAGTCTGGGGAAAGAAGATGAGCCAAATCTGGCAATAACTACAATAACTGTATGGGAGTGTTAAACACAAAAACAGGGGTTTTTGGAGGAGGTTTCATTGCACCATGAGCAGGCAGATTAACTCGTGTCCTGTGCAAGAATGGGACTTTCATGGAACAAACAAAAATAGATGGAGCACTCAAAGTAGTGCAAAGCTGCACAAAGAGCAATTCATGAAGGTCATAGGAGTCAAACTGAAATGAGGAGTGCTGTGTGGAAGTTTTTTAGATTTCTCTCATTTCTTTACAATTTGCTTGCAATGAGCCATACTTGAGTTCTCTGGGCTTTCTGAAGATCTTTTAAAGTTTTCCTTTGGACACTGTCTGATTTTTCACTCATTTATAGTCCAGTCTTTGTGATCTTCTCACTTTGTACTGGTGGATCAAAGTCTTTCTAGAAAGCACATGTTTGGCAACAACCTTTTTTTCAGCATGACCTCAAAAACATGGCCAGCGCAGTAAAAGCATACCTGGATAGAAAAACACATAATGGACCGCTATCAGTCACGGACTGGACTCTCTAGTGCCTGGACCTAATCGTTACTGAAGCAGTGTGGGATCATCTTGACAGAGAACGGAAGAAAAACACAAAGGCATCCAACCTCAAAAGAAAGATCTTTGAATGTCCTTCAAGAAATCCAGAGAGCTATTCCTGAAGACTACTTAAAGAAATTAAAGAAAGCTTTCCTAAGAGAGTTCAGGCTGTGTTGAAGATTAAAGCTGGGCATACTAAATATTCACTTTCAAGCTCATTACAATCATACAGACTCTGTTCTTGTATTTCCATGTTTGTTTGCACATCCTCCAATAAATCTCAGCACCTATTTTCTTTTTTATGAGTGATGGTGCAAGACACTTGCATAGTGGCTGTCCAGAAGTTCTTTGTTATAACTCGTGCAATGAATGTGCTTTTATGTAAAATATGAGATGCATAAGTCCCGTATAACTAAGAAGATTAATACTACTCTTATCTTTATGTCAAAGCTAAGCCAACTTTGGAATCACTATCCTGGAAGCAGTCGGAGACAAATGTAGTAATTCCCTGTAAAAAAACACTTTTCTTTTTGGTGTAAACGAACTACAGATAACATTATAATTTCTGAGCTAGGGTTGTTTGCATGGATTATGTTACCCATGGACACTCATCATAGCTGTACCTCCACACACAAGAAGGCACATGCAGCAAGCACAAGGCCTTGAAGCACGTGTTATTCTGCAAACTCAACTTACCTTCAGCAAGGATGCAGAAACACATACTTTATCGTCTAAATATGTAAAAATATGTACATTTAAACTTTTCCAGGTTCAAAGTCCAAGAACAAAAACACGCTGAGCAAAATTGTTGAGCAAAATAAGGAAATGCACATCTGAAGATATAGTTCCACAATGGACATCAAATCAACATTGTTTTGCAATTAATTTTTGCTCAAAACAATCTTTGCTGTCCTTGAGTCATGATGACAGTAAAGCAGCAGACAATGCTCTGTTGTCTCCTCAGCGGGATTTGGAGAAGTGCCTCTGCATTCCAGAGGTGGGAGCACTGCTGAGTGAAAATTTAAAAAAGAAGAAGAAGGAATCCAAACAAAAGAGAAAGGGAGTATTTTAACAAGGGTAGGAATTCTGGAGGCAGTGTTTGAACAAGGAGAGGAATGCTCTGCGCGTGGCAGAATAAGTGCCAGGGAGGTGAAGAGAACAACAGCCCAGGAAATGAAAGGACTGGAAAAACAGTGTGGGATTAAAATGTGTTAGATGTGCTGGGTGGGCTCCCGCCTGCCACACTGAGCCTTTAAAAGTGGATTGAGGAAAATGGGTTTTTACAACAAATAATGTATATGTTTGGAGAAGAGCATTTTCAAAATTCCTGTTTATGTGATCGTTTTCCTGGAAGCACAAGGCACAGTACACAAACAGACACTTCCTGCCTTTTCTACAGATTCAGATTGCAGGAAATCATTCTGTTCAGCCATCAGTCACATCTACACGACCAGATGGGAGTTCATTGGCTCAGCCAGTGATGCTGCCCCTGGGATTGTTACACTGCTCTGCTACATGATGTAATGGTTATGACAGGCCTTATTGCAAGATAATTAAAGCTGGTCAGGAATAAAGTGAAACTGCCTGACGATGGCTTCCACCGCCAATGAAAGAGGAAGTTAATATCCACTCTGTGCGAGCAAACGCTGCCGTTCCAGCTCCAGCTGAGTCATTCTTGGTGATTTGGCAGGTTGTTTTACAATGTCACGCTCCGTACAGGAATGAGTGAATGACTGTGTGTGGCCACTTTGTCTTATTCAAGCCCGGTCAATCTCAGGCATCTGACCTGTTTACTTTGCTGCCATCTGTTCTACCTCGCAGCACAGAAAAGATTCAGTCTGTCACTCTCCGTCTCCTGTTGCTTGACCTCAACTGAAAAAGAAGTGCCAAGAGATGTTCAGCTGAATCTCATACACTGCCGATGTCATGGGGAAACGCTGTGAATGCCGAGAAAATGTGGAGGCAAAACAGGACATTGCAAATTTCCCAGATCAGGTATGTTATGATATATTGTTTAAAAACAAAACAAAAAAATGCTAAATTAATGTATTGAAGTCAACGTATTTAAAAGTAACTCCTGTGTGCTAAAAGCTGCAGCTTCCGACCATTTTCCACGCTTGGTTCCCGATGGGTTTTTTTCTCCTCAAGAGGATATCAGCAAGCAATGGGTTATCTGCGGAAGCTGTTATATTCTGGTCTCATTCACAACACACTCCAGAATATCTATTTCCTACCCAACGGGGTAGTAAGTTTTATTAACAAGTCATGCGACTCAGATTGGTCCTGTGCCATGTACAACAGCAACATACATGTCGTGTCCAAATTCATGGGCTGC